GACCATTATTTCTCTACCCTCTTGTAAAATAAATACATAAAAATCAAGCAAACCAACAAAGTTTGATCTCAATCCTTGAGGGTTAGGTCATTTGACAGTATTGTCATCTACTAATCTTCTCCTTACTCTCTCTAAATTACTGAAGAGAAGATAACACAGCAACTACTGTGTTTTCTAAATCCTGACCATAATCCTGGGTGACCTCACAACAACATAAATAACCATTCAACACTCTGACTTCCGAACTATTTTTTTACCTCGTTTCATTACCAGACCTCCCCCTCCACTGCCACACATTATCATGGTTACAAACCTTAGATTTTGTCATCACTCATAACTGCTCTAACTCCAAAATTGCTAATTCAAGCATACCACTCCATGATCACAATCTCTAATATCCTCTCCTAGCTTGCTTGTTTAACTATTTTCATTATGATTATTCTTTGTACTCAACAGATCACTTAGTCCTTTGATCCCTATTCTCTACCCAAACTCACCATCTTTCGACTTTCTTTTTCCCCTTTATGTCCAATTTAAAGTGTATTAGAATTACATTCTTTTTATATTCCACATTTCCTTATATTTCTGTATTTTGCTTTTATCCTCTCATAAAAGTCTCAGTCCTGCATGAAATCAACATCTTCTTAATTACCTGCATGCCAGCAGTCTAACTGGTCTGGACCAAAGGCTTGTGGCTCCCCTGAAATCCATGCATTGAAGCCCTGACTCCCAATGTTTTGGTATTTAGAGATGGAGCCTTTGAAAGGTAATTAGAGTTAGATGAGGTCATGAGAGTGGGCCCTCTTGATGGGATTATTGCCCGTTTCAGAACACTGGAGATCTTAATCTCTCTCCCATCCTCCTACATCACCCACTGCACACAAAGAAGAGATCACAGCACACAGGGCAGACGGGGAGTCCTGCCAGGAACCAAATTGGCTGACACTTTGCTGTTGGACTTCCAAGCCTCTAGAACTGTGAGAAAATACATCTCTGTTGTTTAAGCCACCCAGACTATGGTATTGTGTGTGTGTGTGTGTGTGTGTGTTGCAGCCTTAGCTAAGATACTAACAATGTCAAAGTCACACAATAGGGTGGACATGTCTCACAAATTCATCAGCAATCTCAAATGGGTCCTCAAACGCTGACCAGGAGTCCTAAATTTCATTAGTCAACTTATTCTACCACCCATTATAAGAGGTACTATTTATTGGATAAGGAAATTGTGGTACATGTATACAATGGAGGATTACTCCGTCATAAAAAAGAATGAAATCTTACCATTTGAACAACATGGATGGACCTTGAGAATATTTTGCTACCGGTAAGTGAAATAAGTCAGACTGAGAAAGACCAATACCATATGATTTCACTTATATGTGGAACCTAAAGAACAAAATAAACAAGCAAGCAAAACAGAAATAGATTCATAGAGAACAAACTGATGTTGCTAGATGGGAAGGGGTGAGGGGGATGGTTGAGAAAGATAAAGGGATTAGGAAGTACAAATTGGTAGTCACAAAATAATCATGGGGATGTGAAATACAGTACTGGAAATATAATCAATGATGTTATAAAAACTATGTTGTCAGATGGGTACTAGACTTATCAGGGGGATCACTTCATAAATTATATAAATGCCTAACCACTGCAAGCCTGAAACTAATATAAAATAATATTGAATGTCAACTATAATTAAAATATATATATATATAGTCACAGGATAAAGTACAGCATAGGGAATCTGATCAATGGTATTATAATAGCTATGTATAGCATCAGGTCGATAGTAGACTTGTTAGGGTTATCACTTTGTGACGTGTGTAAATGTCTAATCATTATGTTGTTTTGTACACCTGAAATTAATAATAAAAAAAGAAAAAGAAAGACTATTTAAAACTTTCAGCTGTTAACATTGTCTTTTATCTTGCATATAAAGTAGGAGCTATCTGATGGGAATCTCCTTGACTTTCTAATAATAAAAACTCAAAAATACCTACATCTGCACCCATATTCCAACCCTTCTCTCTGGTTACAATTGCAAATTGGTACCTTCAACCAAAGCTCAATCCATCCATCTGTGCCTGGCATCCCATGGCTTTTCTGCATTTTCACTTCTGACCATTTTTCTCTCCATTGCATTACTAATCTTTCCCTCCCAGTGAATTCATTCCATCAGCTTTAAAATGTGCTCAAGTCGCTTCCATGAAAAGTAACATCAGGATAAAATACCAACATCCCTCTACTCCATGTTCCCCTGTGACATTCCTCTTTCTCCTCCTTCACAGCAACTTTTTAAAAGTGGTGTGTTATACACCTGAAATTAACATAATATTGTGTGTCAATTGCAATTAAAAAATAAATTTAAAAAAATAAAAGAGGTGTGCGATACTTACTTCCCACTGACTCTTCTTCTCTATACTATCTGGCTTCTACCGTCATCGTTCAACTGAAACAGTGCTTATTGAGCTATAGTAGAACTGTGTA